GTTAAAAATAGCTGTGGCAATTCACTGTAACAAAAATCCATAGACCATATTTGGCGTTATTATCGCTCAAAAAAAAGATGCCAAATTTCAAAATGCAAAAATATGTAAATTCGTGTATATCATACAAAATTTTGAATAAAAAAGTCTAATTTTTTGCAGATATGCTCAAAAATACACCTTCTTTAAGATGATGGTAAAAATTTTATAGGTTATAATTCAAAATGTTTTTCGAAAAAATTTATAAAAATTATTCAAAAATAGAAATTTTAAAAATAAAACACAAAAAATGGGTAAATTTTATTTGGAATGAACCTAAATTTCGAAATGTGAGAGAAAAAATCAAAAAAGTTTAATGAAAAAAGAGATATTAATAAATATTTGCCAAATTCAATTAACATTGAAGAGCTAAAATTTTGAGAGGTAATATTTTAAAAACTACTCGTACGATTTTTACAAAACTTGGTATTCTGGCATAATTTGAGTCGTAAAATCGAAATATGGAAAAAAATTGGTATGTTATTTCAGAAAAAGTCTGATTTTGTGTCAAAATACCTATGTTAGAATAGTGATATATATATATATAATATATATCCTAAGTCGCACTTTCGAGATATGAAAAACGCAGTTTGAATTTTGTCAATCAGCCCAGTAGAACAGGAGATATAGCACTGTCCCATTATTTTTTTTGAGCAGTGTACCTCACCACTCTTTAATAAAATATTTTTTTTTATTATTATTTACAGCATCATTTAAAAGAAAATTACAAGATTTCTTCCTAATAATCAATTTTAACATTTAGACATGTCAAAATTGGGAAAGGAGGGAGAAAAAATATATTAAAAGTAAAGAAAATAAGCGATAGTTAACGTCCAGTTTACTGGAGTAACAGAAGGGATCACAGCCACAACTGACTCAAAATGATAGTTCATTGAACGGCAGTTACTAATAATTTTTCTGTACTTTCAAATAGTTTAATATGGAATATACATTTGTTTTCATAAATTAAATCAATACTTGAAACAAAAAGAATACATAGTAATAGAATAATAAATAACATGAAAACTAAAGAAAACTAAGCTAAAAATGGCATTAGAACAGTATTTGCATATCATCAAGTTCAAATCTGTCTAAAAAAAAGGTCAGTTTGAATATTTCAGAATCTTTTCAGGATATTATAATGTTCATACATTTTGGATTAAGTACTGTTGTGGATAAAAACAATTCCTCAACACTACATCATCACTTGCTATCATTGCTGTTATTTAGTGCATTTTTCTATCATTCTGCAATAAACAAACTTCATTTAGACAGGGCTCGATTAGTCATGAGTTGACTGCATATCAAAAGGGATATATGCATACATTCAGAAGACAATTTTTTCTTTTATTATTATAAAATGCATAGTTTAAAGCACTTCATGATTGCTTTGAAATTTTTAGAGAGTTTTTCATTAAATTATACCATAAAAACTACTTAATACAATGAAAAGTTGGTACTTCTTGGTTATAATGTCCCCAATATTGAAAAGCCAATCAACCGAGATATCTCGCCAAAATCTGGCCTGTATGTTTTTATACCTCACCACATGATTGTATATTAGCACTGTGTTGCATTTTTGCTCTCGCCATGTGTTGTTATATTAATCTTTTTTTTTTTTTTTTTTTTTTTTTTTGAAAGCTTTTGAATTCCCATTGTTTACTTAAAAAATATTTTCATTGCTTTAATTTTAGGAATATGACATTAACATTAAGTTTACCAAGTAATAAGGTAGATGCCATATAATTTTTCAAGAAAGAGGTCTTTTACTTGACAAATAGGTATGTGAAAATGACCACAACATGAAACTTTTTGTAAATCATGAAACCATCTGAAGACGTTATGTTAAATATTTCAAAAAGAAGGGACTCCGTGTTGGTAATTGGCTCAGCGGTTCCAGAATATTGTTTGTCACTGCTATTAGATTTATGTTTTCTTGGGCAGAGGAGCCGATGTCCATAAAATGATATAACAGACAGCTTAATATGAGTGAAAATGCTGCAGTTGACTGGAACAATTACATCTGATAAAATAATAACAATGAAGATAAGGATTCTTCAAAATATTCTTAGGAAACGGCATGCGAGTATTATTTCCATTATTATACATTGTGCTTCATGAGCTTGGCAAAATTATAGTTGAAATCTTGGCACAAATCTAAAATCGCCAAATATGGTTAGGGGCTACCAGAACACAGAAGTACGAAAGTTTAACCCTCCGAGTGGCATGACCTCCTTTATCCAATTATGTGATTTGTTGTCAATTGGTATATGTTACTACAGTGGTGGCCAAAATTGTGGACACTTTTGGAAATTTTTATGTTTTTGAACTTTGTATGCTTATAGGAAACGTTACGTTTCACAAAATGCAAACTTGTATATATCATTTTTAAAGAGAATTTATAACTGAATTCAATACAAAACACAAATTCAATTATTTGCATACAAAAAAAGTTAAACAAATAGTTTAGTAGGGTACCCTTTATTTTTTATTACAGCTTCACATCGACGTTTCATTGAGCTGACAAGAGTTTTAAGCTCTTCTTTCGTTATTACATGATGCCAGGAAAATTATAGCCTCAATTAGTTCCTTTTATTTGATGGGCGCCTCATTCGGACAAGAGTTTTCAAACGGTGCCACAAATTTTCGATAGGATGAGTCTTGACTGTTTCCTGGCCATGACAACAATTTATGGTTCTTTGTACGAACCCACTCTTCGATATTTTGGCCATGTGGCAAGGAGCAGAATCCTGCTGAAAAATACACGAAGCATTGTTGGGAAAGATATCTCTGATGGAAGGTAGAAGTTTTGGTTCTAGAATAGTGTCAATGTACGAGGGTTGGAACTTTAATAGTGGCAACACAGCTGAAAAAACGCTACGCAACAAAACCAAAGAATATCGCGTATACCACACGTTAACTACATACCTACCTTACCTCTCAGCAAAAAGACTCGTCCTGCCTACGTCACGCGCATTTGGAGTGACGCAAAGAACGGATCCTTGTATTAGCTCGCGGTCTAAAGTAAGTGTTGTCGATGTTTTCAAACAGAACACGATGTTGGAAAATTGAATGTGCCAGAGGAATGTGCAGGTACAGCACGACAGTGTCATCAAGGGCTTCAAGAGGCTTGCAGGGAATCTGCATTGCCTTACAGAACCGTAGCAAGATGGGTGAAAGCTTCAATGAAGGACGCCAAAATGTGGCAGACATCATGCGGCCAGGTCGTCCAAGTGTCAGCGATGCAGACGTGCAAGCTGTTGCCGCACTAATGGACAGTGATCACCACCAAACGATTCGTCAGCTGGCCGGATAAAACAGGATTAGCACATACGACTGTGCTGCACATTCTGAAGGAATGCCTGTCCATGAGAAAAATTGCTTCACGATGGGTTCCACATCATTGACGGAAATGCAGAAATGGCTACGATACGATGCTGCCCGAACCCACCTAGAGCGCTATGAGCGCGAAGGAGATGCTTTTTTACGCCGTATCATTACACTGGATGAGACTTGGGCCCGATCGTACCAGGCAGAACTGAAACGCCAATCAAATGAATGGCATTATCATGGGTCACCACGACGTTCGAAATTTCGTCAGAACCCCAGCAATGTGAAAGTTATAGTGATTCTCGTGTACGACTGTGATGGTGTCATCCTAACACATACTGTTCCCCCACAGCAGACTGTCACTGCACAGTATTACTGCTCATTTTTGGAGCACAATCTCCGACCAGCTTTGAGAAAAAAACGGCGACACTTTCTGCAGAACGCTCCTCTCATTTTGCATGACCATGCTCGGCCGCATGCAGCGCAAGCTTTGACTGATTTTTTCAAGTGATGGGGCTGGGAAGTGCTTTACCATCCACCATACTTCCCAGATCAAAGCCCTTGTGACTATAACTTAATTCCTAAGATGAAGGAACCACTTCGTGGCACTCGCTTCCAAACTGTTCCTGAGATTCTTGCGGCAGTAGACCGGTCCATTCAAACTATCAACGAAACAGGCGCTGCTACAGGTATTCTGCGACTTCCACATCATTGGAAATGGGTTGTACACAATGCTGGCGACTATATTGAAGGACTTTAAAACATGGTGACATGAATCACTTTTGTATTCCTTGTAAATAAATAGTTGCCACTATTAAAGTTCCAACCCTCGTATTTTCTGGCATTCAGTGTCCCATCGATGACATGAAGGCGACCAATACCATCTGCTGACATGCTGACCAATCATAACCTACTGGGTTCTTCAAAGTTGCTTGAATACGTCAGGATGTCAGCTCTTCTCCTATTAGATAACGTCTTACATATTTTCGCCCATCACTACCGAATAACAATATCTTAGTTTCATTACTCCACTATCTTGTGACCACTGATCATCTGTCCAATTAATGTGTCCTTTCCACCGGTAGACTTTTTTCGTTGCTGAAATTAAGATAACGGCTTTTTTTGTGGAATTTTACCTCTCATCCAACATCTGTTATCTTCTCTGATTGTTCAGTCAGATCACTTCTGACTGATGAACAAACACCAGCATCCTATCAGATCCAGATCTCTCTGATGGCGCCTGATGACATTTTTTTTTTTTAACAAAAATCTTTTAGTTCTGTTTAAAAGAAGGTAGGATTTGTGTGTTTTCACTTCTTGGTTACTTTTGTTTTTCGAGACATTTGGCAGGAAAAGGTGTTTAAACCACTTATACTCTGTTTTTTATTTTCTTATACCTTTTTTTATTGAACATTTGGAATTTTTTTTTGGTATTGATTGTTCTTTTAAATGTTTTATTTTTTTTTTTTATAATACCCCAAATTTGCACTTTTTGCGAAAAGTCAAGAGATAGAAATGCAGCAAATAAAAACTATTTAAGCATAGTTTTTCATAAGTAGTTCCAAAAAGCCACATGTATTAGAAGTTAAATTTATAGAATATTATTCAAATTTTTATTTTTGAATCATACTTACGTGGTATACTTAGTATATAATATAAAGGCATTTTCTAATTGACCTTCGTCTAAGTACATTTTTGCCATCCGCAACATTTCCGCACCAGATCGAAAATACCGTCGTACTGGAATACGACGATCAATAAATACACTGCTACCAGTCAGTGCCAGATTTCTGATATAAGTTTGTGGATCCACCATCACAGTGGTGATATTCTCTGGTGCCATGATACCTCAAATTCAGATTCCTATAAAAACAAGAGAACATAAATGAAAATCTACAAAAAAATCTGATTTCATAATAAAATAATTATTTCAAATAAAATTTATCATAAGCTCTATGAACTCAAAATGAAGAAAGTTTGCAACTACAGTTTAACAGCTAATAACACTTAAACCAATACAAGCTTGACCATTTAATTCTTTTATACTTAAAATACATTTTTATTATTTAGACCAGCAATCTCTAAACTTTTTGATCACATACACCTAAGATAAAATAATTGTAAGCTATGCCTACATAATATAATATATTGTAATGTAATATAAAGTAATATAATGCAACATAATGTGCATGAGCTTTAAAGCCGATGCAATTATGATGTTCAGCTCTCCAAACACTAATCAGCCAGAGATACCGGCTAATGAGAGAAACATTACACTTATGTAATACACGATCACACACCTGGCATGAGCCTACTTGTTTGGCACGTATCCCACTTTGGATACCTCTGATCTAAACAGGATGAAATGCTTTCTGGCTATATTCAGAATGCTCATTTTAAAATATAATGCAGCAAGATTTTACATTGAAAAAAATGACATTAATTTGAGAATTTACTATGCTTTTATGGTTCAACATCCTGATTCGCCAGTTCATATCACGTGACCCCAAGTGATCTCATTTCACGTAAACTACGCTACAAAAATCTAATTCTCTCAGCAATTATCTACATTAATTTCAAGTTAAATCTTATTTTGGAATACAAGTTTAAATGAAAGAATTATTTCAATTCATACGAATAGCTTACTCAGAAATTATGTAAAACTGCAGTGCTTTACTTCGCTAGCGCATTCTCATTAGAATTGATAAGGTTAACCCTCGATTTTGCCTTTTCGCGTAATGGCAGACCGCACATTGAGTTGAACAATGTTAAACAAATTTCGCTTACTGCGCATGCTTGATGGGTACTTTGGCGCGGGGAAATATTGGTGACTAGCAACCTATGCTAGCTTATCGTGATCACCATGCCGTCGAGTGTGTTCGAAGGATGTTACAACTGTAATTGTGGAACTTTGCTTATTAGTAATTTAACATACATACCGATTGCACTTGTTTATTTTTCTAATATATATTTCATTGTAATTTGCCAAAACAGTGAATTTAATATTGTTAACATATGTTCGTAATAATTCGTTATTTAAATTAATTGTTTACATGTTATAATCAGGAACTTGTAAACTGGAGTATCTCGCTTAGTTTGTTGCATATATTCGCGCTTTTATTTTCTCATTTCAAAGAATTTAAGAACTCAAGGAATTGTAAAATCTTCAGTGTTATTGCAAGCATGTTATATTCCTCAGTGTTTCTTTATGCATGACGAAAGTATGGTAATCCTGACTTGTTTATTTCTTAAAAGTATAATGAATAAATTTTCAACTAATTACCCTAAATTCAGTCTTTTTCTGAACGAAATTTGTACAGTTCCAAAGGAATTGAGAATTTCAAGATATTATTTTTACATTTGAATGCAACACTGCTTCACATTACTTGCAATAATTCAGCTTCTAGTGTTTGAGCAGTACAGCAAAAATTATTTTAAAAACACGGTAATTATTACATTTACATTATACTCACAGATTTAACGCCAGATTGTTACATCAGATGGAGGTACAATCTACTATTATACCGTATTTATTTCTTTACAAATGCCCACAATACGAAAATTACGCCACATTGGTTTTGGGCATGCGTATGGACATTCGTTTAACACTGTTCAACTCATGTGCGGTGCCATTACGCTGCCTTTCTATATTTTCGCCTTCGGCCGGTGTGATTGGCATTCTAATTGACTGATACCGCAAATGGTGTAGGGCATAAATTTAACTATCTTGTAAAATTCAATTATTGTATGCCAGTATGAAAAAACAATCAATCGGATAAGAAATGGCTGCGAATTGTTTGAAAATGAAGCGTAAAAGGTAACCAGCAAAGATATTCCGTTGGCATCAGATTTCCAACTGGCGACTTTATCGCCAAATCCGGCAAACGGAAAAGTACCAAATATTTGATAATCTGCACTGACAAAAAGTTTGTACTCACTGGGCAAAAAAAAAAAAAAAAAACAGTTAATCTTTGGATTATGGTAACTTGGCGATTTTTAGCGATAACCCTGCTACAGCAACCTGCTAGTTTTTGTTTGGATGCCATTTTTATGGAACAAAAGTGCTTAATCATGACGAAGATTAGGTGCAAAATTGGGAGAAAGTGCAGAATCACAAATTGCTCGCTGCGTTTTTAAGAATTGCACATACACGGTATCCATTTACACATCAACTGTTTTCACTTAAAAAACATTCAGAATTGCACAAAAATGGCATTGCGCATGCACAATCTTGACTTATCCATGTACACTGCTAAAGTCCTAGCTGGTAACCTTTATCGCCTTACCAAAATGTCGCCAAATTACCTGTTACCATATTCCAAAGATTAGCCAAAAAAAATAGGCTATCTTCACTGCTCACAGATATTGTTCGAAAATAATAATAAAATGAAGCATTTTATAACAAGGAATTTTCTGAGATTTAAATATCTATATGGCCAATGTTTACATTTTTTATTGTTGGCAGATACTATTCAGTAATGATTAAATATAAAGCATGTAAACCTACATGTATTTAAAATACGTGCACAGTATGCATGTTTGTTATTACTGCATGCATACTCAAAAATACACCAAAAACATGGTATTTTTAGTATTGAAACAGGGAATACAGATAATCAGAAAGGACCCAAAAAATGCTTCCTAATTATTAATAAACATTTTGCAAATGGCACCAAGATTATCGATGAACTGCCAACGCAAACTATTCTCAAACAACCAATAATACTAACAATAATTTATAATTTGTTCATGATGAGAAGAGCTTCAAGTAAACCATGTGTTATCATATTTTCTTTTTTATATAAAAATGTTTAACAAACTGCAAACACTCATAATTCTTCCTTTAAGAGAAGAGGTCTGAGTATTCCACAGCAGTGACACAGCTATAGATAGGAAAGGTTAGGCAATACTAAATAGGCCATCCATTTTAAAGGCCCATTACATTTGATTTGTGAATATTCAAAAAGTAATAATAAATTTCTTGCAGAATCTATCTTTGATATTTTATACAGATTAAATTTTAAGTTTTCTAAATAAATTACGTTATTAATTATAAAAGTTTTATATTTTCTTTTTAAATATTATAAAAACTAGAAATAAAATTGAATACCACAACAGCCTATCTTGCTTGCTATGAATCCAGTGCTGCTTATGAATTCTTGTGTTTACATATATTGGCCTGCTTGCAGAATACTGGCACTATTATCAACTGCACATACACAATCTAATCCAAACTAGCATGTTTGTTTTTGATAATCATTTTGCAGCCATTTTGGTTGATCTTTGGATTATGGTAACTTTACGATTTTTTGGCGAAAATTTGGCGACCAACTCTGCTACAGCAACCCCCTATTTTTTTTTCGCTGCCATTTTGTCTCATGAAGTAAAGACATGTTTCTTTTTTTTATTACTCAAAACACTTTTTTCCAACAATCTGCTAGCTGAATTACACTTATGCTAGAAATTTTATGAAACAAAACTGCTTAATCATACAAATATTAACTGCAAAATTGGGAAAAGTGCAGAATCGCAAACTCCTTGCCGCGTTTTTTTCAAAATCGCACATACACGTAACCATGTACACGTCACTTATTTTACTTAAAAAAAACATCCAGAATTGCACAAAAATGGCATTAACGCACACTCTGACTTTATCCATCGTGCTATTTTCTCTAATTACAAAAAGTGCACAAAAATGGCAGGAAAATTTTGTGATCTTTAAATTCGGTAAAAGGAATATATGAATTACCCTATCGCAAAAAAGTATTACCCCTTCCAGGATGGACTTTGCACTATAAAATAAATAAAATATCCAAACTCTTTTTACCTCTAATTATCTATATAACGTCACCCGTAACGTAAAATGATTACAATACTTATGACAAATATTAAATTCTTTCCATGCACATTTACTTCTCTCAAATGTATTCCAAATACTACAAACATATAACTCTCAAAATCACGATCATTAAATAAATATAATTAAATTAAAAACACTACTTAAAATAAATAAGCACATACATTAATTAAAAAAATTAGCTTACAATCCTAATACTTTAAACTAAATCTTGCTAATAACAATTTTTCCAATAATACCATATTATTATTTACTCCTTACTTTAGAACAATGCATAAAAATATCCTCAAATAATTAAAATACTAACTTACCTAATCTTCTACGAATCTGAGTGCATGGCGGATCAAAAAAGGTCCTTTTCATCAGGTTTCTTGCACCGCCATTCAAACTATCTGTAATATCCTTCCTTTCACACAATCCATTTCTTCCCACATATGGACATTCATACTTATCCGCAATTAAGCAATTCTTTTCATTACACATAAACGCAATAAAAATTTCGGATTTACTTTATAAAGGGCCATGGGATCCAAATATTAAACAACACTGTTCACAGAACATAGAATGAAACTACTGCTAAAGTACAGCAGATATTTTACAAATACCCCTTTTTCCGATAAAGAACAGTGATTCGTCCATTAATGTCACATGACATATCTCATGATCCTCATTTCCCTCACAAAATAATGCGTAATTGAACCGAGTACTTCTCACATTATTCCCAAAGTCCTAGGTAGTAACCTTATCGCCTCCAAAATGTCACCAAACTACCTTTTACCATATTCCAATATCACCTTATTTTTACTGCGTCTTTTATATTTGAGCATAAAAAGGTTACTGCACAGCAAAAAACTGTATCACAAACAAACCAGTTTAGTTAGATTTCAAGTGCACATTTGGTGAAAGAGTAACCAGTGCCCATAGAAGTGTACATGTTTGTATTTCATTCTGCAAACTCTTAAGAATTTTATTAGTTGTTGGCTAGAAATAAAATTCAAGGTA